GGCGGGAGCGCCGCCGCACTCCCAAGCGGCGCACTCTCCAGAGCGCCACCGGCCGGCCCAGAAATCTTTACTTAGATTGTCTATAATTATCACTACTCAGATCCTGGCACAGACAAACAGTTTGGGGAGTGTGCTGGGTATCGACTAACCTTCACAATCATCAGCCTTGGACTCTACAGCAACAGCAAATAACAAAGCAAATGGCACACTGGGGTATCCATGAAAAGCAAGTCCTTTGACCTCCCTAAGTCTCATTTTTCCTTTTCCACAAAATGTCTCGAGAAACAAGAATTACTAAACCTCACAGGTTGCTGGGAGAAGCAATAAGGGTACGAACACACTCTCCAAGTGGAAAAAGGACACAAGGTCATGGTAATTTGCTATCTGTGACTGAGACACATTTTCTACTGCAAACAACAGACACCCCCCACCCATCCCCCCAAGTCACAGCATGAATCACACTAAGTAAAGCACACCGGGAAAAGAAAAAGAGGCAGAATATCTCCATCGTAACCCACCCCCCAACAAAGACACACACAGACCTCCCTACAGAGTCAAAGCTGAACTGGATTGCATCAGACGAAAGGCAGCAATTGTCCTGTGATGAAAATTCCTTATTATTGCACATTATCTCTTCATGGAGCTCAGAAGTTAACACCATTTCTTGCTTTCGGTTTTCATGAAAATCAGGAGCCACTGTAAAATAGGTTCCCAGACCCCAGCCCATACACACATTTTACGTGGCCTCTGTTTCATTGCAGACAGTCCTTGTAATGTGTTCTGCTTAGTTTTTATGCCTTGATTTTACAGTGTTTTGTTTTCTTTCTCAAAATAGCACCAAGGTCAGGGCCAGCTCGTGGCTCACTTGGGAGAGTGTGGTGCTGATGACACCAAGGCCATGGGTTTGGATCCCTACATAGGGATGGCCAGTTGGCTCACCTGGGAGAGTGTGGTGCTGACAACACCAAGTCAAGGGTTAAGATTCCCTTACAGGTCATCTTTAAAAAAAAAAAGAAAGAAAGAAAATAGCACCAAGCTGTAGCATAGCAATCTTAGCCATTTTCTAAGGAAGGCATTTAAAATCTACTCGTTCACTTAGCACAACTTGGACATAAGAAATGGGCTCTCTCCAAATTTGGTAGTTAAGTAGCACCTTGAGACTACAACAACTGAGTGTTGTTGACTCTGCAAACTATTTATAGACAAGCCTCAGAGAAAATATTCCAGAGGAACCGGAGTAAAACATGAGTCAGGCTAATTTCCTAACCATGACTTTCTGGAGTGGTTAAAGGGAAGGCATGACCTGAGCATAAATTACAAGTGCTCTCAGTCAGAGGAAGGTATTCATGCTCACTTGAGTTACTGCTCAGTAAAATTTAAGCAATTATTTCATCTACAACGTTACACAGCATTGAGAATGTAATTAATTCCATGCACTTGTATGTTTTAAAGTGCTTAAAATGGCAATCCTTATATGTATTTTACTACAATTTTTAAAAAAAGGAAGAAAAAAATTTAGTCTTCACATTTAGATTTGCTTCACGCATCTCTTTTGTACTCAGCATTTATTTTCTATTATGTCACAAGGAAGTGATAACAGTTATCCCAACTGGGATGAAAAAAATAAAGCTGTAACAATGATTATTCTAAAACTGTCAAGGCAATGTGAAAAGAAACTGTCCAAGTTGGCAGGAATGTAGTAAATATGAGAAGAAACTGTAAGTCACTTGGTACCTCAGAGGAGTTTGTAAACTCAAGTGATCTATGTAGGAAAACATTAAACTTGAATTTATCAACACCAGACTTTTGAACATGTATTGTTTAAAAGTTCTAAGAAGTACTCAAGGGTTAAAAGAGAACATGCAGATAAATGTTACATAATATGATGTGTCTATATGGTAATATTTTTATTGTTGATTTATTTAATGAACTCTGTGTACTTTACCTATATAAATATCAATTCAAATAACAAAAGTTATATACTCAGATACAGCCTTTCTAACATGTCATATCACATGATTTAACTCAAAATTGGTGTCTCTTACAACTAAGAGCTAACATTTGTAGAAGGCCTGTTAAAGTGTGCAGCGATCAGGCACTTTAAATTCATAGTTGCATTTCATGCTCACAGAAGCCTCATGCGGTTGCCAGCATTATTATGCCCATTTTACAGATGAAGAAACAGTCTTTGTAAGGTTCGGTCAATTAGCTAAAATCACACACTTAGTAAAGAGGACCGGAGATTCAATCCCAGAACTCTCTGACCCTAGAGCCTTGGATTTTAACTTCTGCCCCTAAAGTACCTGACATTATTACTTTGTTTCCGGAGGTATGTTCAGTAGTCACTACAATGTCACTCCCAATATATACTCAGCCTAAAGTGATGCTGTGAAATGTGAAATACTTCATATCTTGTTGTTTTATCTCAGAAATGTTTTTAGCTCAATGAACTTATAAATTTACTTCAGTTACATCTAGTCGTTACCACTATATCTAATATGAGAAATCTTCCTTTTTCTGTTTTTGCCTCTAGGATTTTTTGGAGGGAGGAAGGTGGGTTAGGGCAACCTGTAAGGAGCAATCTTCATTTTGTTTATCTTATGGATTGATTAAGAGAAAAGGGCTATGATAGTGACAATAACTACTATATACCAAAAACCTGGCAAGTTTGCATTTTACAAGCATTGCCGGCAGTCCTGGCAATCATCACATATCTCTCCCACTTCATAAGAAAGGAAACTGAGGCAACCAGCTGGAGCTACCCAGGATTGTTTCTCTCCACCGGCCCCACCTCTTCTACTCCACATGCAGTCTCTGTACCTACAGGCCAGGACAATTCCAGGAAGCTCCTATTGTCTGTGGCCATCTTATGCCTGTCCATTGACACATGGATTCAAAAGGAGATCAGCAAAGGAGTTCGTGACCCATTAAGGGGCTCCCTGGTTTCTTCCAGGCCTTACAGATCCCCTGCTCAACAGTCATAAGTGCCACTTCAGAACTGCAGCAAACCTCTTGGAAACCCTCCAAGCCAATGTCCTCCTTTTGCAGCAGAAACATCTGAGGCCCAGGACATGACACGTCCAAAGTGACAGCCAGCAAGTGACAAAGGCAGGCCAGTAGTTCTCCTTCTGCAGCCTGGGCCCACCTTCCTGCCAAGGACAGGAAACAAGCACCTGGCACACATGTGCCATTCAGCAGAACAGGACAACAGTCCATGTTATAAATATCAAAGAATGAACAGAAAAATCACTGTCATCAAGGCCACTATGCAGCCCAGCCCTGTGGAGTCTGCATGCCTCACTGAAGCCCTCGACGTTGTCCTCATTACTGATCCAGTCCTCTAGGTAGCTGTGGAAATGCTTACTGGAAGCCACTATCCCAACACCTACTGCTGTGGGTCAAATGGGTCCCCCAAAAATCATGTCTTAGAAATTTAATCTTCATTGTCACAGTGATAAGAGGGTAGAAAATCCAATTATGATATTTGAAAGGTGGGGTCTTTAAGGTGACTAGATCATGAGAACCAGACCCTCAGAGTAATGGGTTGACAGTTTGTTTAATAGGCAGTCATGAGCGTGGTTCTGATGGCTTTATAAGGACAGCGAGGAGCAGGTTGGCTCTCTCTTGCTCAGCCCAGTCTCGCCATGTGACACCCGGCGTTGCTGTAGAGAGTCACCACCAAGAATAATGCCGTCACCAGATGTGTTCCCTAGACTTTGGACTTCCCAGCCTCCAAAACTCTAAGAAATAGATTTCATTCCTCTACAGTTTCAGGTACTGTGTTATCAATGACAAAAACAGACTCATACACTTACTTTCCTCCAGAGAAGCACACATGTGGAGGAGAGAGGCAGGTAGGCCTGACCCAGGAATTTGGAGTCCCAAGTGGTTATCAGGAATTGAAGCTGATCAAGGAAAAATGGAAATGCTGGAGAACTGCTTTTCCATTCCACCCAATTTTTAAGATAGTTCTGCCTTCTAAACCTCCTCAGTTGAGGTGGCGTGACACAGGAGAAAGGGGAGTCTGAGTCATGAGGACATGGGTTTGCAGCTAATCTGCAAACGTTTAGGTGAGTCACTTCATCTCTGAGCCTGCATTTTACCAGTTATAACATGATGACAGTAACACTGAAGATGCTGGGAAATAGCGACGAAAGATTAAAAACTCTCACCTTTGTGTGCACACGTGTGAGCGTGTGAGAGACAGAGAAATGACTAACACGTAGCAGACTCTGAATAAATGGGAGCTTTTATTATTTCTATTCTGCATCTGTTTTACACCTTCTTTTCTTATACAATATTTATTCTATTTAATAAAAATCTAGCCCACTATTGCTCACTTGATGTCATTTCTGAGAACATACGCCCTCATGAACAATAACCAAGGACAAAGCACTAAAAGCCCATTAAATAAGTAATTATGTTTTTGTCCACATCACATAAACTGCCACTCACACGATACAATCTATGATATTCGAGCCATTGTTCAAGCAAAATCACTCCCTCCTCACAAAGCTGGCTAGAAGCCTTCAGCACCACACCTCCGAAGTCAGCCACAGCCTTCTGCACACGAGACAGAAGAACAGCTGGACGTCCAGACGCACTAGACAGAGCCCAGGGGGAGCCTTTTCATGCCGTGATTCACTGACATTTATGACCCAAAGAGGGTAACATAGTATTTATCAGTATTTACCTTCATTTTTCTTTTTGCTAACTTATATTCTCCTATCAGGTATGTTTGGTTTTCATCAATCATCCATCAATGTTATTTAAATCTCAACACATACACAAGCATTTCATCTTGCCATTTTCTGCAAAACTCAATGTTATTTCTGAAAACAATCTCTTGGTGAAATGATGCAGTATTAAAAAGAAATGTTAAAACATCTCGTTCTCTCTAATTAACAAACTGCAAATCAAAAACAGAGTGGAGAGGGAAGCCTGTAGATGGGATGTGCAGATTCAAACCAAGGGGTAACAAGGTTTCTTGATGAGATAATTAAAGAACTGTAAACACTGACTAAAAAGTCTATGATAACAAGGAAATTTTTTTTAAAGGATAATTGATAATGTGATTTTTTTTTTCCAAAAGCAATTGTTATCTTTTAGACAGAAATGAAATGCTTGCAGATAAAATACTGTAAGGTCTAGGAGCTGCTTCAGAATAATTTGGGGGGGGCCAGCAGAGGGGAGAGATAGAGACGAAGCTGCTCAGGGCTGAAGCTGGGTGATGGGTACATGCAGGTTCAATACATATTCTCTCCGCTTTTGCAAATTTTTGTAATTGTCCATTTTAAGAAAAAAAAGGTAAAAGCATCCTGTGAAAATCATTATCACATCAGGATTAGAACGGCAGAGAATGTGTGTGTGTACCCAGAAAAGACTAGCTCAAAGTATGAAATAACAAAGATCATTCAAAATTTTTTTAAAAAAACTTTTAACAAACCTTAGTTTAAACATCAATACTACTTGAAATTCAAGTATATGAAATTGAACAGTCATCACTCACCTTTCTCAAAGCACAAGCCTTTATTACTTTTTCATATCGTTCCTTTTCATATTTCTTCCCAAATAAAATATTGCTCCTCACAGTTCCTGAAAACACCCAGGGCTGCTGAGAAACATAGGCGATTCTTCCATGCACGCTGACCAGCCCCTGACTCGGGGGCAGTTCCCCGAGCACAGCACTTAACAGCGATGACTGAAACAGACAGTGAAGAACACGTGTGCACAGTCAACGCTCAGCACAGAACAAGCCGATGCAACACAGCCTTGCCCAGCCTGGGGGGTTGATAAGTATAATTCTTTCATTTAAGTGGAATAAAGTACAGCACTGGAAGTTGCAATAAAAAACTGGAAATAACACTGTTGCTCAATTGTAAACTTACAGATTATAAGGAATATTAACAAAATAAGAGTGTAACACGGGCCGGCCCGGTGGCGCACTGCTATAGTACCCCGCTTGGGAAGCGCGGTGGTGCTCCCGCCGAGGGTTCGGATCCCACGGGCCGCTCACTGGCTGAGCGAGGGGCGGGAGCAACACTGAGGGTTGCGATCCCGTGGCCGGTCCCGGTCCGGTACGGGCGCAACACTGAGGGTTGCGATCTGTTGCCGGTCACGAGAAAAATAAATAAATAAATAAGAGTGTAACAATCTACTCTGCCCAAATGAGTTTACCCCAAATGAAATGTGACATAAAACAAAGACTAATTAAGAATGTTTGGAGCAACAGAGTAGCCCAACATGATAAATATTTCATATATCCAGTATCAAACACAGTTGTTCCTGCATCCAGGTATCTTCTACTTGACAAAGTACTTGCTCTGGAAAAGCTATGTATACATAACATATCCTGTGCACTAAGAAAGGTATTTATTTGAAGGAACTCTGGCGTCATGTTTCTGTAGAGCAGAAAACCCACCATAAAGGAAATAATCACCCTATCATCTATACATCCTAGTTTAGACTTCCATTTTTGATGTTTTAGAATACACGAGGCTAAGTGTGCAGGCATGTTTCCTCTAAATCTTTTACAACACACAGATGTGATGTATCTGTGACTACGATTATCAGAGAGTGTGTAACGCTGAACTGAAATCATCCTCTTTGTGTATCTGTCTTGTCCTAGAACCTGGGAGCCTTTAAAGACAGAGGCATCTGGGTTTGCTTATAGAGTCATCCCTCACTATTCTCTGGGAGACTGGTTCTAGGACCTCCCCATATCAAAATCCGCAAATGCTCAAGTCTCTGATATAAAAAGGCATAGTACTTGCACAAAACCTACACACATCCACCAGTACACTTTTTTTTTTTTTGTCTTTTTTTTTTTTTCCGTGACCGGCAACGGATCGCAACCCTCAGTGCTGCACCCGCACCTCGCTCAGCCAGTGAGAGGGAACCGGTCTGTATGTGGGATCCGAACCCTCGGCGGGAGCACCGCCGCACTCCCAAGCGGCACACTGTAGCAGTGCGCCACCAGGCCGGCCCCCACCAGTTCACTTTAAAATCATCTCCAAATTACTTACAATACCTAAGTCTGTGTAAATGCTATGTAAATTGTTGTGATGCTGTATTTTTAAAATTTGTATTACTTTTTATTGCTGTATTATTTGTTACTGTGCTTTTTCCTCGAACATTTTCAAGTTGCAATTGGTTGAGTCTGCAGATGCAGAACCCGCGGATGCGGAGAGCTGCCTATTTGTATCTTTTGCTCTGAGCACAGTACCACGCACGTGGCTGCACATTTACTAAATGTGTATTGATGTGACTTGGACAAGTCACATGAAGAAATGTTTAAAGCTTTTCAGAAGAGCATTTTCAGATGTCCTGTAGCATATAAGGTCTGCTCTGACTAAAAGAAGTCCCCACTCTCTCAGTCATTCTATCCTGAATAGCAGTCACATAAATAACTTCTTTCACTTAGATGTCCAACTTCTAGACAAGGTGTTGCCAATTATGCAACTTGAAGCACCAAGGGAAATAGAATATGCATTGCTCAGATTTATTTTCCCATGTAACCTTCTTGCAAAACTAGTGTCTTATGGAACACACTGAGAAATGCCATTCCAGGCATACCCAGTTCAAAACTCTGTTACACACAGCTCTGGGCTCAACCCCAAGAATTCAACATGGGATGCGGAGGTGCATCAAGCTGGCAGAGGGCATCATAACTTACCTTTCCTGCTCCCACAGGGCCGACCACAGCTAACAATTCACCAGGCCTGACAGTGAAGGAAAGGCCTTGCAGGGTTGGGGTTTCGGATGCCTACAAATTAAAGATTACAAAAATAAACTTTATTGCCCATTTCAATAAAGTAACACAAACAGCTTCAAACAGTGGAAAAAATAACACAATAGTCATCGATACATGAATAACCCACATCTTTCTCCTTCTTATTTTAAGATATTGTGTCCTGGAGTCTTTTTCATCCAATCATATTTCTCTGTGGAGGTTGAAGCAGTTTGGCAATTTTAGCATTTAAGGCAGGACCATCCCCTTTTATCAGATTTCCACGTGAATGCAGCTCTAGACATCCACAGCATTTAAGTAGTAGAAATGACAAGTCAACCTTCTTGAAATGAAAACTCCTTGGCTCATATTGACTTACTAAAACAATATTCTTAGACTATTCAGCATGGCAAGGTTTTAACCATTTATTGTTTTCATTAAGACCCTTGACTTTAATCTCACCTCCACAAGGGGGCAGCAGAAGCACACGGGATGCTCGGCCCTGATAGTAAACAATTTGATGCTCTCCACGCATCTCTCCATTTTCACTTGATAAAGAAGGAATTGCAGAAATGCTCAGCAAGCAAAAAGGCACTTTATATTATAAAGTTACTCTTGGCAAATGAACTCTGGCAAAAGATTCTTGTAGTGGATTGACTTATGTCCCCCTAAAACTCCCTGAAGCTTGAATTGTATCCCCCACATTTTATTTAATAGAAACTTAGCCCCCACTGTGACTGTTAAGAGGGTAGGAAATCCTACTACGGTAATTGAAAGGTGCAGCCTTGAAGAGGTGATTGGATTGTAGGACCATGCAGTAGTGAATGGATTAAAAATAGTGGCCAGGGGTGTGGTTCTGAGGGCTTTAAAAGAAGAGGAGAGTCTCTCTCTCTCTCTCTCTCTCTCTACTCTCTCTGCTTCCACCATCTTGCAATGTGAGACCCCTGGGTCACTGTCGCCCCCACCAGATGGACTTTGGACTTCCCAGCCTCAGAAACTATAAGCAATAAATTTCATTTTTCTTTATAAATCACCCAGTTTCAGGTATTTGTCATAAGCAACATAAACGGACTAATACAATGGTCAACGTTGTAACCAGAGCTCTAATTTAACAACAAAAATAGGGAGTAAAAAAATTAAGTACAGGATCATGGATCAAAGGGATGAAGTCTGTTTTATACCTGCAGCATCATTATCTATCCCAGGTAAACAGGGACAACATAGCAGTTCTACTAGAAACACCATGGAAGCACACACGACAGAGTACAATCCAACACGTCAGGGGAAGAAGGATAAAGCACTCATGGTACCATCGGAAGTCACATTCCTGAACAATCTATAAATTCTAAGATAGAGACTTAAGAGTATATGTTTTCATATATACCTAAATGTCAAGAAAATTCTCAATAACTACTAATGTTAAAAATATATTGTTTTACAGTTTCTCAGTTCAATTCATTCTTTAAGAGACCAAACCAAATTTGCTGCTTCTACACAGAACTTCCAAACTGAAAATCAATTGAAAGGATTAAAATGCGTGTTGGGGTAAGAACAGAGAATCCAGCAGAGCATGGTAAACCAAAATGTGCAGGTTTCCTCTCCCCATGCAATGACAATCAATACTCTGAATTACCTATCCTTTAAGCAATAGTCAAATGATATAAATAAGTTTTAAAAAGAGAGTATTGAACCTCATTAGTAGTAATCACCAACTATAAGAACTTTTGTCCAAACCCAGGTATCAACACTATCAGAAGAAAATTGACAGTAAAGTGAAAACACTTTCACGGTTGAAAGTAAAGTGAAAACAGCTGCTATTTGGGGGATTCATTCTCAAGTGGCTTTGTTCCCAGTTGTGATCTCCATCTTTATTTCCCATGGGGTGGATCTGAGAGTCTTGACCATGCATACCCAAGTGGCTGAAGATCTAGTAAGATTATTTGAGGCCCAAACCCTTCTGTAAGGAACCCTCTCTTAAGGGGCTAGTGTTCTGCACAAGATACTTTGGGAAATGCTCTTCTGTATCATTGAAAAATATCCAAGAGTGAATCAAAGGCAAGACAGCCTTCTGAAATCTAGAAAAGGATTCTTCCAAAATGAATCTGGAGTCCCTGAAGGGCAGAACACCTCTGGATGATGGAAGAGGGACGCAGGTATGAAGCAACCCACTGACAATCAGAGGAAGCTGAGCTAACCCCAGGCGGAATGGGGACAACCTTGAACTTTCTGGATAAACGCTCAACAAGCTCTCTTCACACCTTGAGTGAGCACGAGTTATTAGTAAAATGTGCCAAAGACTAAAAGCACAGGAGATGAAAAAAAAAAGGTCTGGATAACCTTCAAAATGAAACATTTCTCTGGAAATAAATGAACTGTAACATGCCAAAACAGTCATAATTATTTTTATTTTAATGGTAACATACAGAAATATGTGTGCATAAATAATTGTACACTTTATACATGTATCCCATACCAAATTATGAAAAGGTCACAAACCAAAATAATCACAATTACTCTGAATCAACAGCCCAGATTTTATAGAAATTTTTAAAAACTATCCAGAAGAAGCTGGATTTTAATACACGACAAACTTTGAGTTTCTCTACTCCTACCTACGGTGCCTAACAACTATTTCCAATTTTACTATCTTTTACTCAGTTTTGACAGCAAGAGAGTGAGCCACATACAAAACCAGCTGTCTCTGTTTCTTGTCAGGGAGATGTTCTCACCCCATGCAGGAGGCTTGGGACTGGCACTGTTCCCCCGTGACCAGAAGGGGGCAGCACTCTGCAGCCTGGGGACGCGGCCCCTGTCCTCAGGGTCATCTGATGCAAGCACAGAAGGGGCCCTTGTCTGAGCCAGAGACTCAGCCTGCAGACGCAAAAGGGAACAAAGCAGAAGAAAATCCCTGCCGCCAGGGAGATTTAGAGGCACCCAAAGGACCATAACTTTTAAAGCTTAGGGACTGAGACCAAGTCCATTCATTTTATGAGTGAGACCTGGGTGGGTGAGACCTTCCACATCTTTCTCCTAACTCCCAGCCTAGTACACTCTTCATTCCACCTCGGCTTCTCTCCAAAATCTCCCACTGTCTGTGCCCCTTCCCCAACCCCAGCACTCTCACCCATGACTATGACCTAACGATCCCCATGCACGGGGCATAATCAACACACAGACAAGGCCAGGGAAGCAGATCGAGTGTTCTGTACTACAGAGCAAACTGCAAAACAGTCTAAGAAGATGTGATTAAGTTCTTGGAAGAAAAACAAAACAGCCAATTTTATGATGTTGCAAAGTTTGGTACAAAAGAAATTTGGTCATGGGTCCTTCAAGTGCGTGTTGTAAAGCATGAGTCCTCAGTGCTTGATCTAATTCAAGAGCTTTCACCTGGGTTACCTTTTTATAACAGAATCGTGTGTATTAGGATGGGATGTGCCAAGCAGGTGGAGAGAAACCGTCAGGTCAGGTAATGCACCTTGTGTGGGTTTCCATGTGCAAAGGTGCAGGGATTTGGTTTTATGCATATGAGAATACATGATGGTTTGCTGGGAGAGACGGTGAACACAACACTGGTAAAACAATACTCAGAGCCAAGGGCATGGAAAGAAAAAAGGTGTCTGTGGAGTTTCAACACATGCACCCCAGGAGCAGGGAGAAATGGAGCGGAGCTGGGAAGGAGCACTGCTCACCGCCCTTCCCCTGCTCCTGCAAACTACACTTCCCAGACCCTCGTGCCAACTCCAGTTCAGCCATGGAGAGTGCAGGTGCGAGGATGGGAGGCAGGAGAGGGTGGTACCCAACCAGCAGCACTCGCCTGCTCCAAGCAGCCCTGGCAGTCCCAGCGCCCAGAGAACAGCCCCAGCTCTGTGGCCCCAACTCCTGCTGGCAGCCGGCTCATGATTGCACTCCCTCTGGAAGACCCCACCTCCTACCAATACCAATCTGGGGGCCTGACCCACCACTGCCTGCCCTACCTGCTCTTTCACCACCTATGTAATGAATTCCCTGCACAAAATCCCCTCTTCCATGCTGTGTGTTGTTTTCCGGACTAACCCTGACTGAGACGGAAGGATCTGCACAAAGGACCAGGGACGCAGGCGAGGAAGGCAGTGGGGTTATGGATAAAGGGGGTGCACTGAGGCAGCAGGTCTGAGCACTACTTGGAGGAGGCGGGGAGTCCCTGTCATTTTCCCTTTTGCCTAAATGTCATAAGTAAACCAAGTGCAGCAAAACCCCTGTGGCCCCGTCTGTTCTGTATGTCCACTTGCCATAGAGTGAGACCCTTCAGTTAGGAATCCATGGAGCTTACCATGCTGGCCTGAGGCCTCCTCCCTGCCCTGGGCATCACCAAAGTAGCCACACCATCCAGACGCTTAGAATAGGGGAGCCCCCACCCCAACCCAAAGCAAAAATCCAAATCATGGGCTTTTCTCCATATGTAATAAGATGGTCTGAAAACATTAAGATTAAAACATACACTGATTCTCCAAAGTCTCTGTAATAATTCACGTATTTATTAGTTGACCCATTCCATACTGCCCCGTAGTCTGTCCAATCCTACCAATTTCAGCATTACCAATGTCTAAACTCAGCTACATGAAGTTCCAACAGAGATAACACTTTGAAAGTTTTTTTGAAAATGAGATAAAGAACAAATTCTCAAACACCTTAAGCTGATTTTACACTTTACTTTCTATTAATTACAAACTTCACTCCTGATTTTGAGAATTTTTGTAACATACTTTCAGAGAATGAGCAAGTCACATTTTATACCATGTGTAAAATCTCAAAATTCTCTATTAAATCAATGTCCCCCATTGTCTTTTAGCAGTCATGATCTTATGACGGAGGATTTGTTACCTTATCCCAAGAAGCAGTAAAATCTTGCACGTGCACTATCATTTTACCATCCGACGGCCGGTGACGGTGGCGCTGTGATATCTCATCAAGTAACAGGAAGTTCTAGAGAAAATGGAAAAACACAGAATGTTTCAACTACAGAAACTACAGCACAAACAAAAACCATTGCTTCCATGGAACGTGCAACATAAAACCTTATACGGCCTAGAGATTATTTTACCCACTGTATTTAAAGCGTCGGTTCCTATCAGAGGCATGCTATATATCTCATACATAAATAAGTATCTGAAGAGTTCATGGCCATTCAGCAACTATCTTTTTAACTTTCTCAACAGGCACACTGGTTCCTTCCTAAAGGAAAAATACTGCTGTAAAGCTGAACACATTTAGAACTTGGACATTTTTATTGTTTTATTTTTGTGTTACGAATAGTAAACCTGGGAGGTGGTAGGAAATGATTCGATAAATATTTATCAAATCCTCGCCATGTGCCAAGCACCATGCCAGATGCCAAGAGCACAAAGACGAAGGCCATTCGCAGGCCTTCGGGAATCCAGCAGGCCCAAGGGTGGGCAGGGAACACCGGCCAACGACAGGGACCGGAAGGCAAGCCCCAGCTCTGCCATCTGGGTGCTGTGTCCATCTGGGCACTTAGACTCTTTCTGCCTCTCTTCTCCCTCATGTGCATCAACTCAACACATCATAGCTTGTCATCACTTAAGTCACCGTTCTAAAATGTGCTCTTATTATGTTATTAAGTTTTTGTCTCTGAAAAAATATTTTATACACATCTTTTCACAATCTCTTGTCTTTTTTCCTTAGTAAATGACCTCTCTTTGACCACAGCAATGGCCATATCTTCCACTTCTTGCTATTTTCCATGAGATAGCAGCTGTTCAACGCAATTTACCTTAATCAAACCCCAGTAGCATTACAAACCTAACACAATGATGTATAAAAATTTCCCTCTTTCTCCTCAAATGCTGGACATAATTCAATGAAAAAAGAAATTGAGTGAACAACCTAGACCACCCCATCCCACCAAAAGTTTGAACATGTGGCAGAAACTGTTGGCTGTCCTCTAAGTCTGCTCTCAATCTTCCGTGGTAACAAAACCCCCAGTTTTTAACTGGTGCATGGCAGTCCAACATGAGAACCACTCTTCCAACCTCCCCATGCAGCCGTGTGATCTAAGTTCAGGCCACTGGAAAGTGACTGTGTCCAGAAACCTTCCTCCAGCCCATTGCCCAGGCCTTGGAGGCTGCCATCTTGGTCAAGGCCACACACAGGGGACTAATCAGAAAGAGTCTGGGACCCTGATACTACAGAGCATCACACACTAGCCATGGAATTTACAATGGGTGAATTTTGTCTCCTCCGAGTTATGGTTTGAATGTATCCCCCAAAATTCAGGTGTTGAGACTTAACAGCTAATGTGATGGTATTAAGAGGTGTAGAATTTAGGAGGTGATTGGGCCATAAGGGCTTCTCCCTCCTGAATGGGATGAAGGCCCTTAAAAGAGGATTCACAGTGTTCAGCTCTCTTGCCTTACGCCTTACCCCACGCAGGGAGACAGCAATCCCCCCTGCAGATGACACAGCAATAAGGTGCCATCGTGGAAGCAGAGATTGGACCTTCACCAGACACTGAACCTGCCAGCACTCTTGATATTGGACATCCCAGCCTCCAGAACTGTGAGAAATACACTTCTATTCTTTATAAATTGCCCAGTCTATGGGATTTTGTTAGAGCAGTACAAACAGGCTAAGACACCACCCAAAATGATATGTCATAATCCTCGCCACAGTACCTCAAAATGAACTTTATTTGGAAACAGGATCATTGCAGAGATAATTAATTAAGATGAGGTCACACCGCAATACAGTAGACCCTACATCCAACATGACTGGTGCCCTTGTAACAGACAGACACACAGGCAGAAAACAGCTATGTGACAGAGACAGAGATTGGAGTGATGTGGCCACAAGCCAAGGAGCCGCAAGGGTTGCGACAATCACTGGAAGCTGGAGAAGGCGAGCAAAGATTCTCCCTTACAGGTTTCAGGAGCGAGGCCCTGCTGACAACTAGATTTCAGACTCTCAGGCTCCAGAACTGTGAGAGAATAAATTTCTGTTGTTTTAAACCACCCAATCTGTGGCTCTCTGTTATGGCAGCCCTAGCAAACTCACACAAAACTGCCCAAGAATTTCTGCATGACAGAAAAATAAACTAACCCTTGTGTAAATGGCTGTAACACGGGTATTCTAGAACCCACAGGCGAATCTAATCCTAGCTAACACAGGAGGCAACTGAAATTAGTATGTGAACTTTCCTGAGAAGGAGAAAACACCATTCTTCTCTACTCTAAAAACTGTAAATACCCTTTATGTTCCTAAAATTCTTGTCTATCACCACACAAAGCTATGAGTGTGATCATTCTACTTCAGAAGAACTGGTGAGAACTGAAAATGTAAATGTCCTTCTGTTTAGGAAAAAGAAAACACGTTCCTATGCATTCCTCTCAAAGACCCAGCAGGCATAAGTCTGGATCTGTTCACTCACTCCCTCACTCCCCCACTCCAGCCTCACTGAGGACCTCTCAGGACAGGACACAGCTGTCTCTACCTGCAACTGCCCGCATCTAGCGAGGAGGCGAGTGGCAGACAGACCCTGGTCTGAGGACTCCGCTGCAGGTTCAGTCACACACCTCTGACCTCTCTCCACGCCACCCAGACCACAGTAACCAGGTACCAATTCTTGCCTGTTCTCCCCAATTCTCCCTTCCTCTTGAGATAAGCCAATTTCAGAAGCTCACTGACTACCAATCACTTGAAATACTGGTATAATTTTTTCCGCTGGTCTCTCTATACATCCTGGTACCTCCTCCAGCACTCCCCAACACCAGTGAACCTATCCCAAACACTATTCCCTAAGGATCTCCTTAAAACACCTCTGAAAATGTGCACCATGCCTGAAACCCTTCAGTGACCCATCAGCACCTACAGCCACACTCCCAAAGTGGCCTTTGCTTTGATACCCTGAGGTCTAATCCTATCCCATCTCAAATGCTAATCCCACTGGGAACCTGCTCAGGACAGCCCAGCTGGTGTTGATATTAAGTTACATAGAGGGACTATGTCACCCACACAGTTACAAACACATCGCTTACTCATCCACATGAACACAGTCCTAACACCAACTAAGACCCTGCCTCACAGACAGCACGTCACAGGCACATGCTACATGAAGGGACAGACAGAAAGACCACACGGTTGCTTTGAATTAGTCAAACCATTAACTACATCACCATAGCCCCACACAGTATGAGTTAGCACAGCAACAAGTAAAAGGTTACATATATTATAAATCTTGTCCAGACAGAATAAAATTCTGACCTTAGCTTAAGCACCTTACCGAGACATAAAATTCAACACTCAGTGTGTACATGTTAAAAGAGAAATTTCCCACCTTCAGAAAGAGGAAAGAAAAACTGTGCCCAAGGTGAGGAAAATATTGAGCATTTGTCCCTAAACAGGAAGTCTGAGTGGAGAAAGAAGTTACGATCTTCCAGTGGTTAAACGAGACTCCACTCAACATATAAACAGCTTGTAGAGGTGCCGGAAGTGCCAGCTGGATTTTCTCTAGCACTGGACCGATGAAAAAATTGAAATTAAATTGCCATCACAGCAACAGAACGGGTCATGTGGGGAAGTATCAAAACTCGGGCCAAAAAGATTGACTTCACAGAGTGGCTGGCTGGCAAAAATCTAAACAGCTTTGTGAACAATATAACCTCAGAGATGCATCTTACTGGATGTGAAGGCTGCTGAAGACGTTCAGTGCTTTGACATTAAGACAAGATCTTTTATAACCTTACTGAACTTGCTCAATGCCAAGACCATCGTCCCCTTTTCTTATTGAGAGAAAAACAGAAAAAACTTCTTGGGCCGCTAGACTTCATAATAAAGCCTTCATTTTCTGGTACATGAAAAAAAGGAAATTGAAAAGTATATGTAAAAAGAAGACACTACACTATAAAGCTCAGAGGTAGGTGTGCCTCGTGACCATGTACGATGCACCATCCAAAAGTTGGAAAGGTGTGGCAGATTTCTTCCTAGGGCTCCCAAAACTGATCTTACTGCCAATTAGCCATGATGACCCAATCTACTGAGTCCCAGGCTGCAGAGGACAGTTTTGCAGGGAGATTTAAGAAATTTAAGAATGAAATTGTATTAGTCTGTTTCTGCTGCTTATAACAAAATTACCTGGAACTGAGTAATTTATAAGAAAACAAAGTTTATTGCTTATGATTTTGGAGGCTGGGAAGTCCAAAGTTCAGGGAACAGATCTGGTGAGGTGACTCTACAGCAATGCAGGGTGTCACACAGCAGAATGCAGGAGCAGAGAGTTAACGTCCTCATTCATTCTCTTTTTGAAGTCCCCAGAACCACCCCCATTATTCCAAGAATGGATCGGTCCATTCACAAAGGTACAGTCCTCACAACCCGATCACCTCTCCAAGGCCCACACCTTTCAACTACCCCAAGAGAATTTCCCACCCTCTTAACACTGTCACAGTGGGGACCAAGCCTCCAACACATTAAACTTTGGAGGGACACTATGCAATCCATAATAGCAATGTTTTCTCAGCTTTATGTGCCCACCAAGCTTCTGGCCTATCTCGGGTCAGACCTCGCCAGGTGATCACCTGGTCAGTACACTTGGCAGACCTCTGCTTCCTCTCCTGCTGCCATTTACACCTTCTAATTGCTCATTAACACATTCAGCTGAGAGGCAAAGAAAAGAAAAGTGAACGTCCAACCAGTTCGTGACATTCATCACCTATTACCTCTGTTTGATAACTAGGAAAGGAGGCGGAATCAAGCAGACGGCCCATCGGCGGGTCTTACAGCAAACACCTGGACATTTCAAAAGCCTCTCAGACTTCAAAACCAAACTCATCCCCCAATCTGGTACTCTTCTAGTATTCCCTATTTCAATGAATCCAGAAGATTTTGCAGCCAAAAAAAAACAAAGAAGCCCTTGATAATTCCTTCTGATTAACCTCTCTCTTCCAACCCAACCCCAACTCAAGACATGC